GTGTGCTTAAGTTAGCTTCTTTGGTTAGAAGCCGATGACAACAAGATATACCTGTCCCCATACCCCTCACCTCACCTCACCCTAGTAGAGGGTTGGGACTTGAACCTAACTTTGCTTTACTATTGGAAATTAAATTCAACCTCTATAGAATATGTCTACAAAATTGACATCCCTTGGGGGAGTTGGGTGTAGCTCTTTATGCTTGGTCAACTTAGCTAAATCCATGCTAATTAACTTACCTTTAACGTGCCCTCAGGTCTTAACATATGACATTCCCTCCCCATGTTAAATTGGATTTAAGGTTCGACTACACTCCCGACAAGCACAAGAAGTTAAGGATGCCAAGCCTTTAGGTTCTTAACATCCTTTAGTATAACAAAACTTGATAATGGGACCTTTTAAATCCTAAACCATAGGTGCATCTTTTACTTCAAGAAAGAAACACCATATCTTAACAGCTCGGTATAGGTACCTCTACTCCCCCACTTCCATCCCAAAGGGAAGATTCAAGCCCCTCAGAAGGAGTGAGGACCAATAAGCCATATAATATTCAAATGGGGCACCATTGCATATGAGTCAAGGGTGCCTTAGTCAATTTCCCTTATATGAGTGGGAGTTGTTCTTAAGGATTTATTTAAAGGGCTATTTTGGCACCCCTTGAGTCTATGCTCACTTCCATCCAAGGTCACTAACTTTTAATTCCAACCTTAACTCGGTTAAAAAGCACTATTGAAGAATTCTGTTAAGATTGGATCTTTAACCTCATTATCCCTATTATACGTTTGGAACCCTCTGCAACCGCCCCCCCCCCCCTGGGAGATGATTACTTTGGGCTTTCACCACACGACTTCTATTAGTAGTCTTGGACTCGATTTCAGACTTTGTCTCCATGAATATTTTATTGTTTCGGTTTTAATTTCGGGGATCCTTTAACCTACAACACCTCAGGGACTTGGTTCCTTACACTAGGATTATATATACATAGTTTAGCAAAGACAAGAACATTCAGCTATAGATCCAACTCATTAAATGCATGTATAGTAAAAAATTTAATGACTACAACTACCATATTGCTAAGTAGAAGATCACAAAAGAACTTATTAATCTATAATAATATTTGAAGAAAGAGAAGAAAATAGTGAAGGATTTAAGCAAGAGGTATATTGCAATTTTGCATATTCTAGGATTTGAGAATCAAGAATTTGATAACTTGGAAATCAAGAAAAATAGTAACTAGAAAAACTATATAGATAGCTATATGGTTTTTGTTTTTTGTATAGGAACTTTTTCTAGTATGAATGAGATGACCACATTACAAAAAAAATGTTGTAGTTGTTAGAACTGGCATTGTGGTGGATGTCTATGACAAAAAGCAACACAAAGAATATTCTTATAAGATTCTCAAAATTCAGTACAACACATTTATTGAATTAGAGTTATTAGATGATTTGCATATACCATTCTTTAGCAAGATGGTTGCATGGGATTCCATAATTTTATTCATCACTAAAAACTAATGTATGAGCTTTTTAAATTAAAACCATATAATTTTTATTAGTTTTCAAGTGTAGGAGGTTATTTATTAACTAGAGTCTTATATTGGAGTATCACAATGAATCTAATGAGACTTATAGTGGCAAAAGTAAGCACTGGTTTTAGGGTTCAGGATAATATAAATGATAGAGGAAGAATAAGATATTACTTTCAAGATTTATATATTTCTGGACTAATAAAAAACTTGCAAAAAATAAGTGACTTCAATTTGTGAGTTATAGGGAACCATACTTTGATGAAGTAATTACCCCAGTGGAGAGCTATGAAACAAAATCACCATAATACCTCAGATAAAAATTGTTTTATAGTTGGAGAAACTAATAGCCACAATAGTTGATTTTGAGGTAAATTATTATATGGTTTTTAATATTTTTTATTCATACAAACAAGGCTTCTAGAAACAGTGTTAATAGTGAGGGTGATGTTATACAATAGCCATAACAACCTGCCTCTATAGTAAAAAATGACGTGAATAAACATTTTTTAACCCATTTAAATACATTTTGTACTAATTCTTATTACAACAGAATGAAAAACAAGGGATGGTACCACCAAAAAAACCTAAACACTCTGAAAAAGTGAGATGAGTATCTTAGTTTTCATTTGAGCTAAAGTAATATGATTTGATTCTTATAAAGTGAAGGTATTATGAAACTATTTATTAAAAATGAGTTTACCAAGTTTTGTCACATAGTGTTTACCCCTATAATAATTTATTATAGGATAACCATGGAGTGAAATATAACCATGTGCCAAGGGCAATAGAGTAAAACCTAAATTTCAAGTCTTTAATGTAAGCAATTAAAAGGAACAACTTGAGAAATGATCCATAAGGGTTAGGCTTATGAACAAGAGTGCACCCTCTTTTTCAGTTGATTAAGGGTCTTCAGATATTTGAGGTTAAGTGTTTTTGGATTTGAATAATACTAGGTTGGATAACCTCCCAGGAAGTCCAAATTCAAGAGCTTACACATAGGCCATTAATTTAAAGGATGGAGTTAAACTCTCATTCATATGTATGTGATTTTCACCTTATACCCTATGATAATTTACTATAGGATAACCATGAAGTTGAACATAACCTTTAAATATATATGTCAAAGGCAACAAAGAAAAACTAGAGTTTTAGAACCTTAGGCATTGAACAAAAGGACAGAGTTAAACTCTCAAACATATAGCCAAGGAGTGAGGAACATAAACATGGTACAACTCACAAATGTATAGCTAAGAAGTAAAGGAATAAGAGCACGAAGTGATATTTGAATAATCCTACGACCCTAACGCTAAGACTAGCACACAAAATACAAATTTAGTGTTATTTTAGCATATTAGCAATTTTAACATGAGGATATAGATACTTCACTAGGTAACATGGATAACTTGAATTTAAACTTAAACTAGATACAAAACAAGGATAGACATGCTTAATAAAAAGCTAAATAATGCTATAGATTAATTAGTTATGCCTGACCTACCCATTACATTCCCCTGTATGCCCTCCCCCCATATGGACACGTTTTAGGATTTCACCCTAATCTCAGAAGTTAGTCTTTGAGACAATCTCAAAAACCTACTAAATATAGAATGACACTAGATTGTGAATTTGGAGACGATTATTTACATTATTATGTTTAAAATAATCTTTACATTCCATATATATACTTCACTAGTAGATCTAAACGTTTTTCAATATTCAATAGGATTAAATAGAACATGGTATGATAGCAAGGGTGTTTAGAAAACATGATAAGTTATTATGTAATGATATTGAGAGATTAGTGCCTAATTTTGTTAAGCCAATGTAAAGTAGAGCAAAAGAGAATTAAAAAACTATACCAACTAAATAGATATTTAGGAATTCCCTTTTTATGCTTATCTGGCCAAATACAAATACTAAGCCTAATTTACTAACATTTGATTAAAAGGGCTACAAAGGGAATTAGCAATAAAAATCTTTTACCGTTGTGGTAATAAAAAAAGAATATTTGAAAGGACTCATCAATATTTAACTTTTGATACTCATAGTTATATTCACGACATTACCAATTACCTAATAAAAGGAAAACCAAAGCGAAAGAAACTTTAAAGTATGTTATTAAACATTTTTTCAAGGTTGGGCATTTGGTAGTATCTTCAGAAGTATTGGCAATAAATACCTAAGATGAGATTTTATTGATCATTCAGCAAGTTGAAAGTGATGACTAAAAAGTTTAATAAATTAATGATCCAATAATCTTTGATAACAATCCTTTTTTTAATAATTTATTTTGACAATCTTTTTCATCAATCTATTCTAACAATCCTTTTTGATAATCCTTGTCAATTGAACAATAATGTTTTTCGATATCAAAAAATACTCAAAATATAGCCTAAATAATCTTAATGAAATTGAGGATAGTTTGGCTCTACTCAAAAACTATGTGGTTTAAGACATTCAAATCAACGATCTGGAAAAATTCAGAAAATTCCCACATCATCTGGACAAATAAAATGGTCAAAAACTGTTTATACTCGGTACTTCTAAGAATTATAGTAATTGTTAAAGTGCACAAACCCAATCTCAACAATTAATTCTTTATCCAAAGACTCCAAATATTCCTTGTGATGCTCTATAATAGGCCAATTGGATTATTGCTATGATACCATATTTAATATATAATCCTTAGTTGATGTATGAGGGAATATATCTATATATAAACTAGGGGTGTTTATATCTAATTGAGCCAATTACTATTCTGGATAGATAGATTATGGGAATATTGCACTAGTATATATAAGGAACCCCAAGATCCAATACTTATGTTTTTTTTTTGTAAGCAATAAAAAAGAAAGCTGATTTAAAAGATGATCTATAAAAGTTTAAATAAAAAGAGAAAGGGCTCATGAATAAGAGTGTACCCTCTTTTTTAATTAGTTAAGGGTCTTGAAATACTTGGGGTTAAGCATCCTTAGGTTTGATAGTAATAAGCTGGATAATCTTTTGGGAAGTTTAAATTCATAAACTTACACATTTTTAAGTGTTATTAGTCAAGCATATTTAACCTGGTTAGAGAAATTCATTCATTGAGACAAATTTTTTAAGTATTATTAATCAAGCATATATGACTTGTTAAAGAAATCATTCATTGATTTGCACTTCCTTAGATTATAATCTTAAGATTAATAAAGTAGTTCAAAACTAATCAAGAGTTTTTGGACACAATAGGGAGTGGGAATGTGCTCACAGCCATGAGCAATGGCATGGAGGACTTAAGGCGGGGTTCCATGCTCCACCCACTTAGAAATTTCTCCCCCCCCCCAAAAAAAACTCCCCTCCCCCTTTTTTTTAATGGTTACATGTAACCCCCTTCTTTATATGCCACGTAAGTTTACACATCAACATTTTTTTTCCCACGTCATAAAGGATTAGGGTGCCAATTTTGTTTACCCTAAATTGAGCGCACAATATGCCACGGCTCACCGATTCTTCCTTGGCGATCATTTCCCATGCTGTAGGGATTGTGATGAGGTACTTAAATTTGGTAGAGTTGTTCTTTCTGGAGGAGGAGGACATGATTTTAGTTCCGATTTCAAGAAAACTCTTGTTCATTCGAATGGTGGAGGAAGTGATTGTTATAGTTCTTTCTATGCCATGTCCCGCTACATCTTCATTTGTTGAGAGAGTGATCACTAAAAAGGAGCTCTTAGGGCTATTGATCGGTGCGTACTACATCAAGCCGAAAAGTCTACACTGCTGGTATCAAACAGAGCTTGAGGTTCTTCATATAGATCCATAAAGATTCAGAGAAGTTTTTCAAGTTTCGGTATCTACATTCACTTTTCTTTGTGATGAGTTTGCTCCAAAATTGGTCAAGAGGCCTCCTCCAGGTTTGGCAGAAATACTAGGGCAGCACTTGCCTGTTTTTGCTTTGAAACGTTTGGCATCTGGGGATATGTGGCGAACAATTAGTGATGCATTTGGAGTGGCTTCATGCACTGCCCAAACTTGTCTACGCTGTTTCAGGTATGCATTGCTTGAGCATGAAAGACTAATGATCCATTGGCTGGATGAGGAGGGAATGAAAGAAGTTATAATTGGATTTCAGAGATTGTGTGGATTCCCAAACTGTTGTGGTGCAATGGATTGCACTCACATTGCAATCGAGCTCCCAGGATCAGAGGATGCAACGGATTGGTATGTTGGGGCAAAAAAGTACTACTCGATGGTAGTTCAAGCTGTGGTAGACAGTAAGACTTCATTCCTTGACATAACAACAGAGATAGCAGGTAGTGTTCCAGATAGGCGAGTTTGGAATTCTAGTGGTTTGAAGAAGGCTTGGATTGAGAAGAAGCGTTTATGTGGTTCAGTATACCACACAGAGTTTGGGGACATTTCACAATATATCATTGCAGATGGAGGATATGACTGTGCTTTACCGGTGTTGGTCCCATATCCAAACAGGTTTCATGGCAAAGAGCAGTACAACTTCCTTCATTCTTCTATGAGGATTGTTGTCAAGCGATCTTTTGGAATTTTAAAGAGGCAATGGAAATTGCTAGCTTGGAAAGGATTCAGAGGTCATCTAGGCATCCTTGCGAATAACATCATAGCTTGTTGTGTGCTACATAACTTAATGATCACACAGAATGATAGGTTCATGGAAGATTTTGACCCCGACAAATTTAACCATGATGCAGGCTACCTTCCACAAAGGTCTCTTCGTTCAGCTAAAGATGGCATAGCATTGAGAGACACAGTGGAAAAGTTTATAGAGAGCTTATAGTGACAATACTTTTGTACTTTATTTACTTAAGAGTGACAAAAACTAAACGTTTTGGTGTTGATCCTCTTTTAAGATCCTGCTGCATGAGACTTGTGTCACAGTAAACCGGCAGCTCAGAAGAACGGTGATCACAACAATGGTGATGCGCTCTCCAGGCGATGGTTTATGTCGAGCTCCCTCTAGTGATTATCAATATCGAGGCTAGGTGATTTGTAAAAATGAGAGAGTGAGCGAGTGGTGGTTGCAGTCAGCTTAATAACAAAGTGAGTGGTGTGGATGAGCCAAAGTGATGATTCATCCAGAAAAACCAGTGGAGCGAGAGTATAAATACCTTTGTGATTGATTGATCGATCCATCCATCGGTCGCTTCCTTTAGCAAGATCACGAGCGATCACCACTTGTAAGCAGTATAAAAACAATGGAGGAATTCTTTCTCTTGCTTTTCTGTTTGTACCTATTCTCGATCCAGCACTGCAGTGACATCACGGACCAGCTGTAGCGAAACTGTCCATGGTTCTCCTCAAAATACCTCTTGTTTCAGATCCATTCCAGATCCCTGGCAAGTGACACATCGGCTCGTGGCTGTCTGCTTACAAGAATAGAACAAAAATGAAATTGAAATGCAGAGCCTACGTGCAATCGCCCAAGGATCTAAAAATACCTGGTATTCCCAGCGATTAAAGTCGCTCCTTCTCTCGCGCTTCACTGCCTCCACAGCTCCCTGCTCCATGAGAAATGGCATACCCTAGATTGATCCAGCAACACTCCACCGTAATCTTCAGAATCCATGCATTTTCTCACCGTTCCTGTCTCGGCTTTCTTGGCCAACACCAGCGCCGCTGCCCTGGCAAGCTTCACGGCCTTGGATGCCACTGATCCACACAGGGACACCATAGCCACGAGGAAAAAAAGACGCACAAAACCCCAAAACTCTAAAATGCTGTGTTAAATAAGTGTAACTTTAAAATACAAAGTTTGCAATTCTACTTCTCCTTTGTCACCGTTGATTCCACAAAAGCCTGCCATAGCAATTGAAGTTCCTCACACATCATGTGTGTTCCTTGCAACATCATTGCAGCTCTTCTATCTGCAGCAGCAATTGAAGCTTGGTGGTGTCGATCATCAGCTGCCTCCATTTTTTCTATCATTTGTATGTTGCTATCTCGAAGTTCTTGCATCATTGCTTTCCTTTGCTCATCACTTCGCTCAAGAAGACCATCAGATCCCTTTGGAGTGCACTTGCGTTTTTTCCCTGTAGCAATTGGAACTTTCTTCCCACCGACTTGTACTTCTGGAATGTCCTCGTTAGCATCTCTAGGATCTTGTGTCTCAAATATAACATCTGGATCTAGATCTGCAGTTGCATTTGTCTCTGGAAAAAAGAAAAACAAAAGTCAATCAAAAAATCTAAATGAACTTACCATAGCCTAGTGACTCATTTGCAATTGTAGAACCTATAGATGTATCAACTTGGTGGCTATCTGGAACATTAGCTCTTGACCGTGTCATCCACAATGACATCTAATGGTAGAGGCCTTCATCAAATGCACGAGGAAGCTTTGCATCCTTCTTCATCCCTGTAGTAAACTCACTACTAAAGTAGGATGGTTTCCCTGATGGGATGTTGTTCTCGTAATTGCTAATCTGCCTCCACTTTTTCGCAAGCTCATCCCATTGTGACTCACATTGCTTTTGTGTGCAACGAAATCCCTATGAATGTAAGATGCCGGAAATGCGTCGCCACTTCTCTGGTCCTTTCATCGATTTTCTACAATCACTGCCTTCTTGATCCTTCTCTTTTTCCATCCTCTTTGCATACTGAAGAGCCATGTTTTCATTAGTAGACCATTTTCCTTTTTGTTCATCATTCAACGTTGGTTCATTATGGGAAAACAAGTTGTGAAATCAAAAATTAAACACAAATAATGTTTATTGTACCTCTCGAATACTTGTTGCTCCATCAAAAGAGCTAGTTCCTGGAGGAGGTAGTGATAATAAAGTTGTGAAAGAAGAATTTCCAATTCCCCCACCATGAAATCCTTGCTATTGCAAAAATGCATTCAAAACAAAGTAGGAAAACAATTGGAAAAAAATACCTGGCTCGATGAATTGAAGTTAGCTTGCATTGTAGGGATGCTTGGAACAAATCCAATCATCGGGTTGAATGTAGGAATGCCAGGGCCAATAGGGGTGAGGGGGAGAGGGGAGGGGGAGACGGGAGGTGAGAGGTGGGGCAACCCCCTCCCCTTTGGGAGGGCCAAAGGGGCTAGGGGGGTGGGGGGTGTTGGGGCGAGTAACCCTTGGCCCCCTCTTGCCTTGTTGTTACTAATAAAAGTATAAAAAAAAGAGTTAAAAAAATTAAATCAATATTTGATCCATCTTGAGTTCTTTGATTAGTTGGAGTTTCTTTTCATGTCCAGACCTGCATACTAAAACTAACTAATCTCAAGTCGTCCAAAGTTTTGAGTCTTTACAAAATATATGATATAAATAACCATTGAAAAGGAAATCTTTGTTCTTGGGTGAGAAAAACTTTACTTTCTTTCTTTTTTTATGTTTTTTCTTCATTTTGCAAAAGAAATTGTTTGCATCTCTAGCATTCTATCATGTGCAACCTTGCCCTACAATAATGAACTGTAGTACATGCACTAAAAATGCTAATGAAAGTCACTAAGCTAAAAAATTTGGTGACAATTCTAGATGAGCTTCTATTTTTGGGCATTATTTGCCTCTAGATACGTAAAACTAAGTTAAAGGGGGTTTTAGTTTTAAAAATAGGGATGAGAAGATCTTCATGAATAGTAGATAATCCCTACAAATATGGCGGTTTAGATTTTAGTGGTGACCAAAAGCAAGAAAAAATGCTAGTAGCTCACAAAGCCAGAGTAAATTAGCAATAAAACTAAGAGCAGAAGTAAAGCAAGGAGGGGAAAAAGAAGGAGTTGAAGGGGGGTCTTAACAAGCAACAAAAAAACACAAAACTTCAGGCAAAACGCAAAGGAGAGTTAGGGAAGCAGTCGAAAAACAAACTTGATCAACAAAGTAAATGCAAGGCAAAAATGAAATTTAACCACAGTGAAGGGGAGCTAAAGGAAAGGGAAAGGGAGGGAGAGTTGGGCAAGCAGAGAAGCAAAGAGCTTCAAAAAGAGGTAGAGCCAGAGCCAATTAAGGAATAGAAAAATAAAGAGCTTGATCAATAAAGTAAATTTGAGGTGTTGAAGTAAAGTGAGGGGGAGCTCGAGGAAAGTGAAAGTGAGGGGGAGTTAAAGCTAAAGGTAAGCAAGATCAAGGGTCAGGAAATTGAGGAGCTTGAGGCAAAAGAGGATTTGAGGCAAAGCAAAAGCAAAGGGGAGTTGAAAGAAAGCGAAAATGAGGGGGAGTTAAAGAAACTTGATAAGCTTGGACAAAATAAAAGTAAGGGGGAAATTAATGAACCTAGGTAAAGAAATATCAAGGTGAAGAGGCAAGAACTCAAGGAGCCCAAGCTAGAGAAAGAGCTGACTCCAAAGGTAAAAATGCCAAAAGGCAAGGGCAAGCAGTAATAATGACAAAAAAAGAGTTCATTGACCAATATAAAATAAGAAAAGAAAAAGCTCTTAAAAGGATTAAAATCAAAACCAGGTTAGGGTGCAATAGGATAATACTTTAGTTGATCCACTCTTAGAAGAAGTGAAGAAGCTTGTTAAGAGGATTATTTGGGTAGACAAATTTTTTTTGAAACCGCTTGAGATGAATGATCTTGTTTTGGAACGAGACCATGAAACCAAAATTGTGTGCAAAGGGACTTGTGTCTAAATAGGAGACACACTAGGTGTCATTGTTTTACATTGTCTCTAAGGTGGAGAAGGAGAAGAAGGGAAATGGAGATTGCTAATCCAAAAAATGCTAACAACACTGATAACACAAATAAGTGTACCTAACTTCATCACATGCCTAGCAGCAGACATTATAGCCACAACCACATCTTTACCTTTGTCCATGAACTTGGGCAATAGTAGCATAAACCTCTAATAGAACAGGACCATTTTCTACATAAAATGGAGCTAAAGGATGTGCTATGAGAAGTGGGAAGAGGCAATATTTCATAATGTTGTGCCAAGTGAAAAATATTATCAAGGGTGGCTAGAGCAAATGCATGCACAAGTCCTACAAGATTTTGACAAAGTGCTAACCATAACATTCTTAATTTGATCCACTCTGACATATTTGATTCCATACAAAGCAAGAGTCTTCAGAAATAAATGCCAAATTGCATCACTAACTCATATAGCCCTTAACAAAGTCGATGCAATTATTAAAAGGCATCATCATAATTGTTAGCATATCTAAATGTGCGTTTGAAGATGTCCAGGAGAATACTCCAATCCTCACTAGTGGCTGCACTCAAACCATTGTACCATTACAACATTATATGAGATACAAATCCCTAAACCTCAAAGTGGAGCTGAAAAGGTGCCACATGATAGTGGTCAAAGTGGAAGCCAAATGAGCGTAATGCATTTGAACTAAAAGCTCTGACTCGAAAAGTTGAGAGTAAGAGTGAAAATCCCAATAAAGTGATAAATAATCAAGTCTCTAGAAAAGGGACACAAAATGGACTTGAGATGGACTCAAGATAGACCCAAAATAGAGTCTGAGATGGACCTGAGATGGAGCTCAAGGTGGAGTTTGAGATGGACCCAAAATGGAGTCCAAGATGGAGTCCGAGATCGAGTCCAAGATGGAATTCGAGATGGAGTCTAAGATGGAACCCAAGATGGACCCAAGATGGAACTTGAGATGGACCTGAGATGAAACCTAAGATGGAGTCTGAGATGGACTTGAGATGGAACTTGAGATGGATCTGAGATGGACTCAAGATGGACCCGAGATGGACTCAAAATGGACCCGAGATGGATCCAAGATGGAGTTTGAGGTTGAGTCTAAAATGAACCTAAGATGGAGTCCGAGGTCAAGCCGAGGTCGAGACCGAGACTGAGACCAAGACCAAGACCAAGATCAAGTCCAAGTTTGAGTCCAAAGGTGAAAACCCAAAGTGATCGTCTTCTAGACCCTGAGGGGTTTGGTGAGCTCCAAAAGTATAGTAGGGGGGAGGACTCTAGTGGAGCCAATTTAGTTAGGAAAGGCCAATGTGACCAAAGAAGGCAATATTCACTTCGTGGGTGATGATATAACCATTGAGGAATCCAAAGCTAAAGTGAACGTAGATGAATAAGGGGGTAGTGTGGCTTATTGGAACCTCGCTCTAGCCACATGGCTAGAGCACCTAAAGGAAGAAGGTGGGGAGAGTACCCACGAGGCTTGTATAGGGCCATAGTGTTTCAAAATGTTGTCCTAAAATTTCAGACTATAAAAAGGAAGAGAAGCAATCCTCTTGTGTAATGACTAAGAATATGATCACATAATGAGGAAGTCCTAAAAGTTTGTGGGACTTTGTGGTCAGGCCTTCAAACCCTAACCCAATGGCAATGTTGATGAGCACAACCTAGGATGGAGAGGGACTTGGTGAGGATCAAGGAAGAGACATTGGGGAAGGGTGTTCCTTATGTTTTTGGGCATCGTAAAGATGCTAAGGGGTGGTCATGGGATGATCACTCATAGATAAGGGGCTCAGTCTTTGAGAGACGGGACTATGGCACAGGTGGTCTTGAACTACCAATAAGACAAGAGTAAATAAACATGGCTTTAATGTAACAAGCTGAGATGTTAGTGGTGCTTTAGAGGTATTTATCATGGGATTGGATACGTGGAGCACTTGGACCAAGTGCAAAAGTTTAGTGGTATAAATGTCATTCATAGGGATAGCATATCCCCAAGTCTAAAATAAGACTTATGGAAGTTGTGAGTGAGACTCAGTAGTCAAAAGTGTGGTTAAGTGAGTAAAGTAGAATGGAAAAATTAATTGCTTAACACATTATCCCTTAGAGATATGTAGAAAACTCACACAAACACTAAGCATCATTCCAAGAATGATATGTGGCAATCACTGTAAAGTGATTAAATAAAGGGTACATATCATCCCCATGACTCCCATAGAAGAACTCTAGCTAGATGTAAGGATTAGCATCAAGAGTAGGAGAAGCTGTACAACACCATGAATGTCACAATCAATTGAATTTCATTGTTCAACTATAACCACATAATATCAAGCAATTGCACCAATTGTTGCTCCAAAGTCAAAAAAGGAGGAAGTTGTTGCCTTGCTATAATGATAAACGAAAAGGAAAAATACAAAAGAGAAAAAATTGAAAAAACTATAAGGAAAGGGAGATCTAGACAATGCAAAAGTTATATATAAATCAAAATCCCAAATCAAAACATTTTTCAAACACAATCAAAGTTACCCCTCACCTCCACCAATATGAATGTATGAAATATGAAAATAAAATATAGAAATGTGCATATTAATTAACTCAAAAACCTTAGTTTATATATAGGAGCAAATAGTCTGAATTGAAATCAATCCAATAGCTATCAAGACCCCACTATATTAATATTAATATATGAAATTGTAGCCATACATTTGGACCTCATAATATAATTAATAAAATTATTTATTTATATACTTATTTTATTTATTTACAGGAAGTTGAATGGTTGTTTTCTGCAATTAGTAATCTTTTTGGAAACGTCAAGAAAAAATGGAAAGGTAACTTTGAAAAAGTTCCTGTTAAGAATGCCCATCAAAATGGAAAGGTAACTTTGAAAAAGTTCCTGTTAAGAATGCCCATCAACTCTGACAATTCTACAAAGTGTATGCTTGGCATATTGACCTGCTTAAAGGAGTTGGGAGTAATTCTCCCACTCCAAAAAGTGATGGAGATTCATGGATTGTTAGTGGAGGATGGAAAACTTCTGCATAAGATAATTGTACTCTCTGTTTTACTAAAAAACTAAAAGTGCTTGCCTTCCGCTCAGATATCTCGAGTCAGAACGCCATCGCATGCAGCTACGCCACCGGAAGCACTCGTCCTTTGTGTTGTTGGACGCTAGAACACACCCAAGCGCTGTCCAACAACCTGATGAGAGTCGCCATCCCTGTGCCCCGGCATTCAATCGAGATGACCGGCGCCCCTTTCTTGCAGCACACTCGACCTGTTCATCACCCGTTCAAGTCAGTGTCACTTGCGGTTCTTGTCTCGCAGAATGCTCCGCCGGTGACGGCCGCCAAGTCAGGATCGCCATGTTGCTGGCAATGGTGAGCTCTCCAAATCCATGCTGCAGCTCCTCTTTTGCTACTGAGATCCTGGCTTTGTTTCTTGTCGCCGGCTTCTACTTTGCGCTTGTGTGGATTGCTTCCCGGTGTGTTCACGAGGGCTACTTAGCTCCACTCCCGAGAAGCACTCCTCTGAACAAGTTCTCGGAAGACAGAGCGATGGATCACGTCTGGGAATTGGCTCACGAAATTGGAGGCCGTCAAGTTCGTATCTTCCTTTTTCTTGCTTTTAACGTTCTGTGGGTAAAAACAAATCCAGGAAGGTCTGAAAGCTGAAATCACTGCCTTGAAGGACAGGTCTTTCTTGCATATCGCTTACCTTGTGTGCTACTCAGGCTTGAACTGGATGAATCACTTGTTAGCGGATCCTTTAGCATGCATTTTCTGTTGCGCTCTCATATAGAAATCATACGAATGTTTCTGTGAGGTAAGGTAAGAGCCTTCGTTTCTTCTCTGTAGATTCTTATGTTTTTGCTTTGCTTTTGTAGAGTTTCAGCACACAATGCTACAGAAAATCAAGCCAGTGTTTTGGTGAGCGGCCATTTCGACTCTCCCTTGGGATCCCCTGGTCATCTAAAATCTGTTCCTGAAATTTCCAACCTTTCCTGCTTGCCGGAATTAAAACACTGACAATGCACCACCAAGATTCAAGGCCCTGTTTAAACAGCTCGCAAAATTTGGAAGTATCTCCGCTAGATACGAGCCGGCTTGCAGGAAGACAGTAAGCTTGATCGCAGTACCAAGTGGCCAAAGTTCTTCAATACATCAAAACGATGTCTTTCTAGCGAGTTTCCTCACCATCCCTCAAGCATACAACTGCTCCAATGACTCGTAGCCAGTAACTTCAGCAACGGTTTCTATCAAAGAAGCAGCATCCCGATGTAGTTCGCTATCATCTTGAATACATTGAAGCTGCACCGATAATCAAAGTCAGCGAAGAACAACCTATAAAAATAAAATCAACATTTCTTTCAAAGAGACTATGGATATCGGGCTTCCTTTCATTGGTGCCGGCTTAAACGTTGGAGCTGTCAACCTGGCAATGCTAATCATCATGCTGGGCTCAATCAAGCACCTCTCGTCGTACTGCTACGCCTACATCAAAAGACAAATTAGTTTGACATAACCCTCGCAAAAATTTGCAAAACTGAACGGTTAAGTTGTCTTACACGAACGAGGAAATTGCATAATACCTGAATTAACCAAGCCTTCGTGAACATTCTCAAGCATGCACTCTAGTTTTCCATGTAGACCGATCGCTGATTATCGAATCCATAATAAGATCCAACCAAAGCTCCGGAGTATTGTTAAACCCCATTAATTGCAAGGACTTTACTACCTGTTGTGCTAGAACATCCCCATCCGTAACAGCACTGCATGCACCCACTAGCTTCTAAAAAGTTAAACTTAAAAATAAGAACCTGCAGAGGTAAGGAACGAAAAAATACCACATAGCTGGAGAACGAGACTCAGTCACAAGATGCTGCTCCAATTCCTTTCGCCTGATGTTTTGATCCGGATCGGAGAGGCAGTTTAAATCTCTCTGGATCGTCTAGAAAACAAGAAAACAACGCGATCACTTTTACCTGGACGAAAACTGCGGCAGCTATGGCTTGATCGACCTCATTCGAGGAGAGCAAAATGTAGACTTTAGGGCAAACAAAATTTGAACAAACAGTAAAAATACGAACCCAGAAAACAAGGGGAAAATAAAATGCGACATATAAGGACCCGAAAACCAATACAGTGCCAAAAGAAAAGACCACAAAAGCTTAAACGAAGCACAAACAATGACAAGTCCAATCGCAACCGTCCGTCTTGAAGTAACGTGCCATTACTTCACTGTGTTATCTTAGGTCACTTGGCGTTCTTGTGTCTCGCAGGATGCTCCGCCGGCGACGGCCGCCAAGCCAAGATCGCCGCGTTGCTGGCAATGGTGAGCTCTCCAAATCCATGGCAGCAGGAGCTAGCGATGGCGGCAGCTCCTCTTTTGCTACTGAGATCCTGGCTTTGTTCCTTGTCGCCGGCTTCTACTTTGCGCTTGTGTGGATTGCTTCCCGGTGTGTTCACGAGGGCTACTTAGCTCCACTCCCGAGAAGCGCTCCTCTGGACAAGTTCTCGGAGCAAAGAGCGATGGATCACGTCTGGGAATTGGCTCACGAAATTGGAGGCCGTCAAGTTCGTTTCTTCCTATTTTCCGCTTTGGGATCTATTTTAACGTTCTGTGGGTAAAAACAAATCCAGGAAGGAACTGAAGGGTTGGCTCGAGCAGCAGAATATCTGAAAGCTGAAATCACTGCCTTGAAGGACAGGTCCAAATCTGTCAGGTAAACTCTACCAAACTTTTGTGTTTTTCTTGCTTATCGCCTACCTTGTGTGCTATTCAGGCTTGAACTGGATGAATCACTTGTTAGTGGATCCTTTAGCATGCATTTTCTGAGGCACAACGTTGCGCTCTCGTATAGAAATCATACGAATGTTGCTGTGAGGTAAGAACTTTCTTCTCTTTTTCTTAATGTTGCTTTTGCTTTGCTTTTATAGAGTTTCAGCACACAATGCTACCGACGATCAAGCCAGTGTTTTGGTGAACGGCCATTTCGACTCTCCCTTGGGATCACCCGGTGCTGGAGACTGTGCCTCGTGCGTTGGTAAGTCTTCACTGGTTTTGCAACGTCGCGTGGTTTCACAAAGTAGATCTATGTCGCAGCGTCCATGCTGGAAGTTCTACGCTACATTGTTGATTCCGGCTGGGTACCTCCATCGCCAATCATCTTTCTGTTCAATGGAGCCGAAGAAGTTTTCCTTCTGGTATTTACTCAACTCCCGCAAGTCCATTTCGGATCTTTGTTGCTTAAGCTGTCATGATAGTGCTGGGAGCTTTTCAGGCCTCTCATGGTTTCATTACGACTCATAAATGGCGATCAACTGTTGGAGCTGTGATCAATGTCGAGGCTACTGGGGCGAGTGGACCTGGTACGATTAAGTTTATAGTTGTTTTACAGGCCTGACTCGTGTGTCACTCTAGACTTGGTGGTTCAATCTGGCCCAGAAACTTGGCCAACTCGTGTGTACGCGGAGTCAGCAGTTGTTCCTGGAGCGAACAGCGTCGCTCAGGTAAATAAAACGAACACAAAAGAGAGAGAGCTAACTTTGATGATCCAGGATGTTTTTCCTCTCGTACCTGGTGATACGGACTACCGCATTTTCTCACAAGATTTTGCCGACATTCCAGGAATGGACATAGTTTTCCTTCTCAATGGTTATGTGTACCATACAGCGTATGATCGTCCGGAAATTATTGCGTAAGGACTCAAAAACTTTGGACGGTCTTGGCTAACTTCAGTTTGCAGATCTGGGTCCATCCAGACACGAGGAGAGAACCTTATTGAGCTGCTCAAAGGTTTCACAAGCGCTCCAGAGCTTAAGACTGCTGATCAACGAGCTCAAGCCGGTGGATCAAATACTGACCGTCATGTTTATTTTGATATTCTCGGCAAGTTTATGGTAAGCAGGTTCGGTAAATTGTGGAAATGAAGTTGATTTGGCTTTGTCCTCTTGCAGGTCCATTACTCTCGCAAAACGGCACAAGTCTTGCATTACCTTCCTCTCCTCATTGTACTTGCAGTGCCATATTTCTTTAGCGATGACCTGAAAACCTCTTATTCAGCCATTTTTGATGGTCAGTTTGGCGAGAGTTTGGAAGCTTTGCTTAATCTTTTCCTTTTTCTCCGTTTTTCTATTTTTTGTTTTTGTTTTCTGTAATTGTAGGTGCGGTTCGCCATGGATTAGGATGTGTTCTGGCAGTTCTTTTTCCCGTGATGCTAGCAGCAGCGAGACTAATTTTGTCAGCAACGGCAATGGCATGGTATAACACACACGATTTTCTTTTCAAGTTGTTAGCAACTGACAACTTCTATAGGTTTGCTAATCCACTGATAGCAGTGGCGACCTTCGTACCAGTTTCAGTCGCGGGTTTGCTACTGCCTCGCGTTTTATCTTCCAGGCCACACTCCACTCAGGTACGACGTCACAAAAGTTTTGGTTTTGTCTTACACCATAATGCTGCATGCAGGAGAAAATTGTTGCGTCTCACTGGGGAGCCACGGGTTTATATGGTCTAGAGGCTGCTGTAAGTCGTGAGCTTAAACTTTGATGACACTTTACTGATCCTAAAGTCTCAGGTCTTGATACTTTCTGGTGCAATGAGCAGCTATTTTCCATGCTGGTGGGCGTTATTTATGATTCCAGCTATCCACGTTTTGCAGCTTTTACAGAAGAGATTTGGTCAGCATTCTTTGCGGTATGATATACGCATACATGGTTTTCATCCAGTTTCTCACCACATCTCTTTTTTCTTCCTCCAGATCATTGCTCGGGTACATTCTTCCGGGCTTGCTTCCATCGGCTTACACCATTTTCTTTGTCGTTGTTTTCGTCGAATTTATTGTGGAAAAACTGGGAATGGTTGGAGCTCATCCGGATCCTTTTGGTAATATTATTCTGGAATAAATGTTGTGATGAGCATTTGTTTCAGGTTTCTTTGTGGCGGACGTCGTCATCGCATTCATAATGGGCTTAGCTGTTGTGGTGTCTGTGGGTCATATTATACCCGGTTTAGCGCACATACTTGCTAAACCCCGGATCATCTGGTTGCTGCTCGCAATTTCCGTGGGAGTTTCAGTTGGAACGTCGGGTACATTTCCTTACAGCACTTTAGCTCCAAAGCGCATCATACTTCAACATAGTTTTAGAACATCAGGTTTGTTGTTTCGGAAATCTTTCATCTGGCTAATTTATCGAAAACGTGGCAGGGGATTCAATCATCGAAGCAAGTCACGACTTTGCAACTGTGGATCCAAATCCAATGACTTTTGTTTTCAAGCATGCACCACTTGTACGCGAGAGTCTGGCCACGGAGCCGACGCTCTCGCAACATTCTGGTGCAAATACTTTCCTGGTATATCTTTGTGTGTTTTGTTTTCCTGGCACAAACTCTCACTTTATGCATTTCCAGGCTCTATATCCCATATCCTTGATGCTCTCTCGCAGCTTTCAAGTTCCAACACTCGCTGGGCCTCCATATCCACAGGCCTCTCTTCCAAAACTTCTCCTGACGGAGTCGATACCCGGGACTCTGGGGACTCGACGTTTGTTCTTTGAGCTCGACTTGGGGTAAGCAAGAAACGCGTTTTGTATTTCATCATCGACAAAAAATATATTGCAGATCACTGCAAGAAGTCTGGGGCGCTGCGATTAACGTCACTGGCCCGTTACTGAACTGGTCACTCTCGAACCAAAGCTTGCCTGGTAACTTTTCCTTGAGAGTCTAGCGTTTTCTCAAATTAAAAAACTCACTTGTTTGCAGGCTCTGAGATCGTAAATGGCGGTCCCCCATCCTACGTATGTCGATTCAGCGGCAAGAGCAGCGAGACCTGGAAATTCTGGATGGACGTAAGCACCACTTTCATCTTTTTCGCTTTGCTGACAGATATATTTTCCAGGCGAAAACCTCCCCTCCTCTCCGGATCGAATTGGGAGTTTTGGATCAAAAACTAGACGAGACAACGATCGTCTTGATGCAAAAATTCCCGCTGTGGGCCGCTGTCGTTGCGGGTACCACATACCTTTCGTCCTACGAATTTTGAGCCAACTCTTCTGGAAACTCTAGTGTGGGTAGAACACGAACACTCGACACTGTATAGAACAGGCCCGCGAATATACTAAACAATAGGAAAAACAAAGAAAACGTTAAAAGAGCGCACAGTCGTTGGATGTGGCTTTGCCGCAGCCGTTGGATCCCCATTGCTCGTCGCTCTGTGAAGGAATGGCTCTCATCCCCATTCTTGTCAGTTCGCTCCAGTGAAGAGAGGAGGAGGGGCGCGGCCAAGGCGCCGATCGACCCGCGCTGCTGGGAGGCATATCCACGGTGAGTCCTCGTCGGCCAGATTCTCGAGCGCGGCCGCGATCCGGCCGATCTCACGCGCTCGAGCGAAATATCGGTCGCGGCGTCCGAGAATCCGAGCTCGAGCTCGAAATTTCGTGGATTAGTGCCTCTGGAAGGGGATGGATGAGGAAATTTCTAGATGCCGCTGCCGCCGGCGCTGGTGCTGGCGATCATGATCATGGCTGACCTCCATCGAGGTTTTCAAGAGCAGGGAAGGGCGCGATGGTGTGATCTAGTGATCGTGCGACGGAGCAAGAATGCAGTTCTATCACCATCCCTTGTCGCTGCAAAGCCAGCAGGCTCGAATGGCGCTGGAAGAGAAGGGCCTGGATTACTGGGATTACAGCATCAATCCTTTGAAGGCCAGGAACTTGGACGCCGAGTTCTTCCGCGAGCATCCGAATGGCCGAATTCCAGTGCTCATCAATGGCAACCGTGTTACTCGAGGGAGTCTCGGCATTGTCCAGTAAGTTCTCCTCCTCCGATAGATGTTCTAAGTTTTTAAGTGGTTTTAGAGTTGGATTTTCATTGAGTGGTGGTCTAGTTTTAGCGATCTTCCTTTAAAGAAACTTGGTCATAGCTTTGTTGCTAGAAACCTCCGGGATGATCCGTATCTATTCCAGGCATTCACTTAAGTTTTTCAAGTGGTTTTTAGAGTTTGCTTTGAGTGGTGGTCTAGTTTTAGCGATCTTCGTTTGAAGAAATTTGGTCATAGCTTTGTTGCTAGAAACTTACGTACTTCTAACTCCGGGATGATCCATAGAGATTTTCTGAGGTTTTTAACTGAGTGGTGGTCTAGTTTTAGCGATCTTCGTTTGAAGTTGGTCATAGCTTTGTTGCTAGAAACTTACGTGAATATTCATTCCAGATACATTGACAAGTTCGACAAGGCGCTAGGAGGCGACAAGTTCGATTGCGAGAAGTCCCTCCAGTGGCAGCGCAAGGTGGACGCCTGGGACCCCAAGCTCTTCACGCTGAGCGCGACTCCACCTAAGTACCTCCAATACCACAGCCGCTTCAAGCGCCAGGTCCTCATCGCCCGGATGGCCGAGAACCCCGACCTGGCCAACAAGTACCACGCCAAGCTCCACGACATGCACGCCCTGGAGGAGCTCCTCAAGGACACGGACGCCATCCAGGCCAACCGGGAGCACCTCGTCGGCCTCCTCGAGGACGCCGAGGCGGAGCTGGCCGCCACCAACAATTACTTGGCCGGGGAGAGCTTCTCCATGGCCGACGTGATGTTCTCCCCGCTGCTGGCCAGGATCGAGCTGATGAAGCAGGAGAAGGAGATGATCCACACGCGGCCACACCTGATGGTCTACTGGGCCAAGGTGAAAACTCGCGAGAGCTACAAAGTTTGCATTGGCAAGTACTCCAAGGGGCTGGGGAAGATCAACTTGCTGCTATCATCGGTTCTAAACGTGGTCGCCAGAACCATGCTCAAAAGATACTAGAGAACAACACAGCGCTAGAATATAGTTTGCCGTACAGAATATTCCTTCCGTAGCGCCTACGGGTGTTTCCGTGCAGAATATGCTTTCGTACCGCCTGAGAATAAATCCCCCAGATTCCCTCTCTCTTATGATCGGCGATGGCGCTCACCGGCGGGCGATCGTGGCGGGCTAGGTAATCGGCGATGGCGGCCGGGTGATCATGGGGTCAGGGATTGGGAAGTAGGGCGGTTGGAATCGGTGTGCGCGGCTCGACGCAGGAGAAGAGCCGAGCGCGAAGCTAGGGTTTTGAGGATGGGGTAGCGGAAGCCAGGGCGGAGCCGAATTCCGGAGGAAATGGATCCGGAGCAGACATTCTTGAGAGTCCACGCGCGCCTGTCTGGCGTGCTTGCGCGGCTTCTCACTCCCAGGTTCCGGACTGTCCTCGAGTATCTTTGCCTCTTCAATGCGGTAGTGCTGCTGGCGCTGCTCGTTGTGATGCATGTCAACTTCGTGGCCCAGGTTTGCCTTTTTTCTCTGTTTTTTTCTTCTCGGTGATTTTGGTTTTTTTTTCTTGCAGCCCGGTTGTGCTGCTGAGTTTCGTGCCGCCTCTGACGCGCAGCTCATACAAGTGAAGGTACTCAAATGCAGGAACTCTTGTGATTCATTTGATCTTGTTTGTCATTTTGGTTCTAGATTACCGGCAGCAGTAGAGCTTTCGAGGAGCAACACCAATTCCTGTTCAGCCCCCTTACTCACCAAGATCAACCTGAGACGGCTCAAAATGCTGGGTGGAAGTTTTGGTTTCACGAAGCCGGGTCTAAGAGCAAAGCGAAGGTATCGGAAGGTGAGGATGATGGTGAGACCGCTTCTGAGGATGTTTCTGGCGGAGATGAAGCGTTCCGAGCTAATGTTGCCGGCACGACTCTCCTACACTATTTGAGTAAATGGAGTAGCTTCCTTAAGAACATGGAGCAAAGTATGAGAACTTTTGCGCAAGTTTGGGTAAGGCTATCTTATCTGAACGATTTGTCCCTAAGATGCACATTTTAGAGGATCGCGGGCTGGGAATCGTTTGCCGCCACGCTGAAGGGCGATCGACGTGCCGTTGCCTGGAAGGATTCCTTGATTGGTAAGCCAGAGAAATGTTTCTTGTTGGTTCTCATGTTGAAATACAGTAGACCGGGCAGATAAGCAAGGCAAAATCCATGATCCAATGTACTTGTACAGCGTCGAAAAGGTATACGTCTTTTTCGTTTCGGTTGAAAATTGCATGAGATGAGAGAATAATATCAGCCCTCTCGGCTTGAAGGGTTATTTGATTCTTTCAGAAGTCGCAAAGGTCCAGCATGAAATCCGAACGGTCAACGTAAGCATTTGTGCTCAAAATGCTTGTTTTGGCAACAGGTGCTTAAAGAGCCTTCTTATGTTTATTGACTTATCTGTTTGTCAGCAGATGGCAGCGTTTTCTTATTGACAATTTCGTCGGATACGACACAATTCTAATGAACAGCCTCTTAACTGCTCGGGACAAAGGTTGGAATTACACTCGAATTTATTCTCGAAGCGTGTAAGGCTGAATCGTGCACTGTAGGATATCTCTATAACTTTCAGACAAAGGAGCTCTACAACCTCAATTATCTACAGGAGTCGAGTGGAGTATCTCATGGAGTTGAAGGTAAGCTTTCCTTCATGCGTTTGTGCTGTACTCACATAGTTTTTGTAGATTATGTTGTTTTCAAGTTCGGGGTGCTGATAATGTCGTTATTTGTGTTTTTCACCACAACAATGTCTGTTTCGTTCACCCTCAGAGAAACGCAAGCTCGAATGCTGAAATTCACAGGTCTGGTTTTTCTTGAAATTGTGTTCTGTGCTAAACCTTCTTTCCCTGCTTGACAGTCCAACTGCAGCATCACGCACGACATCGTCTTCCTACCTTCCATCTTATCTTTATCCATGTGTTTGAGTCACTAGTTTTTGTGCCTGTAAGTATGAACATCGAACGCTTCATTCATTTGTTTTAATGCTCCCTTGTATTTACAGATTATGATCGGTATTTTGTTTTTTCTATTTGAGTTTTTCGACGATCAGCTCTTAGCTTTCATGGTTTTGACTTTGGTGTGGCTATGCGAACTCTTTACAATGATCAGGCAAGTTTCTTCCATTTGCATTTTGATTATTGACCTTAATATGGTGATTGCAGTGTCAGAACCAGAATCTCAATGCAGTATTTTCCTCGATTTTTCTTTCTCTACTTCATGGTGTTTCACATCTACTTCTTCTCTTATACATACGGTATGATTGCAAACTCACTTTAGCACATTGCTGAACTTGTCTCCTTTTTCAGGATTCTCTTATCTCGCGTTTTCAGCAACTGCGGGATTCATGCAGCACCTGGTTTTATTTTTTTGGAATCGTTTTGAGGTAAGACATTGACATGCCTGCTGCTTCTTACGATTCGATGGGGCCTGTCAGCAGATACCTGCATTACAAGTATATCTACGTAGAAGGGAGCTACTTCAGCAGCAGGGGTTACATGTAACGTCGTCGGCAATACTGACTTCAGCTGTGCAAGTGACGCGGCTAAACCCTGTCAACCCGCCAAGATCTGCAGAACAAAGAGTAGAAGGGAACAATGGCTCTAGGACTTCCTTAGGATTTATGACTGGAACTTTCGAAGTAGGCGGGTTGCAGTCTTCCAACAGCTCGAGAACTTCCAACGCAGCCCAGATTCCTTCGGACAGAATGACGGATAGTCTAGATTCTACTGTTGGCGTGCCAGATGCTTCTGTGGAGAACACTCAAGCCGAGGGCCCTCCAACCCCAGCGGCTAATGCTCCTATCATTCAGGCTGCTCCCATCACAGCATTCGGTTCCGTGTTTCCGTGGACCTTAGGGAGCCCGTCAACGGCATTGGTTTCCTTCCTTCCCATATTCCGGGACTTCAGGGAGCCTGAACCGGAGCCAGCAGGGACGACAACCACTGTAGGGACGGGTGGCGCCGAGGACGACAACGGTGGCTTGCGACAGAGGAACAACAGGACTCAAGAAGCTGGAAGCGAGGCGGATACATAGCAACATATTGCGGTGACGATCCAAAACACCAGGTTAATCTTCTTCACGACTACGAGATGGTTGGTAACCAGAATCGCTTTTCTTGATAGTGGACTGACTCGTTTATAATCTCGGGTTCCAGGAAAATGGTGGCTGAAAACTTTTTTCTTCGTCCAGGCAGCAGCTCTCCTTCACCAGGTTCCGGTCATGTCTATATCGTCGGTTGGTTAGTTTACAACGGATTGGTAGTAAAGAACTTGTGTGCTGTTGTGTGTCAAATCGGAAAGCTCAGAGGGAATCAATAGTGTGTTTTTATGATCCTGCTTTTAAGCTGTTCTTTGCAGGAACAGGAGTCTCGAAAGCTGTCAAGCATATGCTCGCGCTGTTGGGGCGAACCCGTCCAAAGAGGCTGTCAGCAGGATGATCCAACCGCCAGGGATATGAAAGAGAGTGCCAGCTGCCATACACATGGGAACATGGCCCAGCCCGCCATCAACCGTTTCCTCGCATGACGTAAACAGAGAAGCTGTCCGAGCAAACTTATACAAAACGAAGAATCCTTAGCTCGGAGGTACCACTTTTTCTTCTTTCACTATGGATCATCCGCCGTATCACCGTTTTCTTCTTCTTCCTCTTCTGCTTCTTCGTGCAGCAGCAGCAGTAACAGCACTCTGACGATTGAAGGGAATGGATGCCAGGGACTTTGTCAAGCTGTCCGTGGCGGGTCTCGGGCTCCGCATTAATCCTGCTTCAACAGGAACAGGGGGTACAGATGCAGGCTCTTCGTCGTTGAAGCGGCGAAGCAGGACTAGAAGCTTGGGCAGAATCGGGATTCCCTCGAGCAGCAATTGCTTCTTCTGCGAGATCAGATTTCCTGGGTGTCAACCGCAGACTTCACAGGTTCCACTCGTCTTTGGAGAGCCAGATTCTCGATCTGTTGCTGCAAACTTCTACATCGACGCCACCGTCTTCAACAAGCTCCTGTCGCCAAACCCGGCGTCATGTCTGCTGCGCGTGGGAAGCGGGTCAGCTCCAAGCGTGGAATTGGTTGTATACGCAGGCAGGCAGGGATACGGCAGCAGCAGCGGCAGCAGCAGCGGCAGCAGCAGCATCAGCAGCAAAGTTTTGGGAGTTTTCAGAGTACCAATCAGCGCAGATTCAGATTGGACAGACGGGTTGCTTCTACACGGAGGCTGGGTCAAAATGGGCAGCTTCATTAGTGGAATGGAGCTCCACGCTGCAGTGAAGCTAGAGTCGGATCCGCGCTACGAGTTCCAATTCGATGGCGACATTGCATTGAGCCCCCAGATTGTCCAGGTGAAGGGGAAAGGCGCAGGAAAGAAGCAGCAGCCAGTTTTCAGCTGCAAATTCAGCAAAGGCAGGACGAGGTAAGAGCACGAGTTTCTTTTTTTATTTGGCTTGCCAAGTTTCTCAGTGTCTCTCTTCCAGGATGGTGCAAGGGGATCTTACACCAAGCCGGACTCCCAGGGAGGAGAGCGGCAATAGCCGAGAAAGAAAGAGCTGGCTCGTGACAATCCACGACCTGTCGGGCTCCCCGGTCGCGGCGGCTTCGATGGTGACACCCTTCGTGCCGTTCACGGGCTCGGACGAAGTCAGCCGGAGCAACCCGGGCGGCTGGCTCATCCTCGTGCCCGACTCGTGCTCCTCGGCAACCGACGTGGTGCATGGCGGCCACTCGTACTACTCGTGGAGGGCCTGGGGGCGACTCGAGGCGTGGCGGCAGGATGGCGGAAGGCTGGGGCTAAAGTTCCAGCTCATCTCCCACACCGGCTCCATCCTCGTGTCCGAGACCACCATCCCTTCCTCCAACAAAGCCGGCGAGTTCTCCATTGATACAGGCCCCAGCGTCCACCACTCTCCACTCCCGAGTCCTCGCAGCAGTGGAGATTGTTCCTTCTACCTCGGCCTCCCGACCACAGACAGTGGCTTCGTGATGAACTGCGAGCTGCGGCGCGGTGGCAGTGGCAGCGGGAGGAGAAGTAACTCGTCCTCCTCGTCGTCGGCGTCCAGGGCCACTGTCCAGCTCTCGACCAGGTACATTACGTGCGTGGAGGACGCCGCGGTTTTCATGGCCTTGGCTGCGGCCGTGGACTTGAGCCGCGATGCGTGTCAGCCATTCTCTCGCAAGCTCCGCAAGGAGCTGTGTAGAGATTTCTTCTAGCTCGACCAAAGCTAGCTAGCTAGCGGGCGAGACGGCCTTTCTTTTGATCGTTACTTTTCTCTTCTTCCTTTTTATCTCTTCCCAGAGCATGCGCGATTGGATAAAAGCTGCCTGGAGACTTTTGTGTATATTATAAACATGTGTAAGAATATATCAAATTGCTTGTACCTTTGGAAGATTTGACGTAGTAGTAGAGCATGTGTTTGTTGGCTCCACTTAAAAACGAAAGGGCGCCCTCACAGAGGAGAGCGAGCTGGAAAGACACTCGCGCGAAGAAATTCTTTTCGTTCGTTTCCTGGTGCGTCGTCAACGATTTTGATTGATTGATGGATCCAACAAACGACCCCGCTGATGGCTTTCGCTTCTTTACACTTTCGGTGCCGTCTCTCTCGATTCCTTTGAAATCGTCGTCTCTTTGCTCTGCTTGCGCTGCGCTGCGATGATAGTGCCAACCAGCACTAGGCCACCACCACCAAAGATCTCTCTTTCACTGTCGAAAGAATGAGCCACCAAAACCACCACCTATATATCCCCTTTCGGCAGTACCGATGCTCTACTAAAGTCCTGCAAGCTCTTTAGAGCAGTGGAACCCAACCTGGCCTACCTAGGAGGGCGAAACTCGGTAGTGATGATCGTCAAAATCGTCTCCTCCTCCTCCTCCTCCTCGCATGTTGCGTCGATTACTATTACTGCGATCGTTGCCATTCCTGAAACTACCCGAGTATCTTTGCGACTGCAAGTACGAGAGGATCGACCACACGCTGCGAACGAGTAACAATCCTATGAACATCATACTCCCCATGGAGCACACCACCTGCATTGGAACACAAAAACAAAGGAAAGCTTTAGCCAGACACACGCGCGCTGCTGTGTACCTAAGCTCGCTCACTTCGAGAAGCGCTTTTGCCACCCAGAACACCGTCAGCAACACCGCACCATTTACAAAAAACGATATCTGCCAGAGAAGAACGAGAACGAGATCATTGGAAATCGAATAAAGAGATCATCGCTCTTCTCGAGAGAACGAGAGGGAAAACAACTAGAAAGGGAGATACGAACCAAATCCGATGTGAAAATTGGTGGCAGCATTCCTCTCGCCGCCTTGGTAGCCCGCGAGGATAGTTTCCTGAGAATCGTGCGGACAAGCTGGACGAGAAGAACCATACTGTCGCCGTCCATAGAAAAATCTCTATCGTAGTCATCATCTTCGTAAAATTCGTGCTCCACCTAGTAAAAGACAAGCCATAGGTTTAAAATTCTCACATCACTGCTAGCCTAGGAAATTCTCGACAAACAACCATACCTTGCGAGGCTTTGCTGGAGCGAGTTGAAATCTCCTGGATCCGCGAATGAAAATCATGACAATTCGCTCCCCAGGCCTAATCTTCTCCCCGATTCGGAGAGCGCGCTGGGAAATCGGCGCCGCCATCCAGAGCGATGGCACAGCCGACGCCAGCACGGGCAATCGAGAGGCGCCAACGCCATAGCTAGGGCTCATCGAGCCAAACCGGCCCCGCCACGTCATCCACACTATGTGGTGGTCCACGTGTGCTAGTTTGCCATGTCATGCATTTTGTTAAAATAATATGATCGTCCAATTAACCCTTAAAATGGACTAACCCATAGCTAATAATTTTATAACGATAGAGTATGTTTGATGGTTCTACACGACCAGTGTTATTCCACTTTGGCCACTTTGGCGATCTCTACACCGTGGTCTCTCTCGCTTGGATCTCACTACCGCTACTCTTCTCACACACCACTCCTTCCTTGTTCTTACAAGCTTCATCCTCCTCGCCCTCGATCTTCTTCTCCGCCACAGCCGCCGCCTCCTCGGCCCTCTGCGACCCCGTCAACCTCGCCAAGGTCACAAACGAAGTTCCTCCAAGAACATTGTTGGCGGCCCGGACCGCAAACACGGACGTCTTGAACACCGCCGGACTCAACACTCCCGCAGCAAAGTACTCCAATCCATTGAGCGCCTGGTACCTGAGATTGCTGCTCACTCCCATGTG